CCCCCCGACCCCCCCCACCCCCAGTTTAGTAGGCTTAACATACAGGGTAAAGGAGTTTAAAAAATGAAAAACGCTTGCGTAGTCAGCAGAAATAAGGCCTCTGCCCAGTTAATCCGAAATCACCTAAAGAAGGATGCTGTCAGTCTTTACTTGATTGAATAGCAAGAAGCCTGAAACGCAGTGGGAAATGTTTGTTAATCTAAATACTTGGGAAAAGTCAGGAAATTTAGCAGTGGAGAAATCTTCTGAGGAAAGTTTTGGAATTTCCCTTTTGATTAGAGGGCAAGGCTGAGTAAGATTCACCAGAGCTGATTTAGTACATCAACAGCTTGTCAGCTCCAAAGGACACAGGGGGTGATGGTTCCAGGCCTTTAGACACAGCCTGATCCAAATAGGACCTTTATTGTTATTGAGCATGAGTTTAATACATGCAGACCACACACGGGGCACAGGAGAAACTTACCAAAAACAATTCCTTTTCTTGAGCTTACATTTTAGTAAGAACTTTATGTTATTGATAAAATGTTATGTTTTCCAACTTTTCCCCTCTTTTCTCTTATGGGTAGATTGTTAATCCTTTCTTCTCCCTGAGGATGATTTGCATTTCATTAGTAAAAGGAGGGAGACAGAAGTGAGAGAGACAGGTTTGCTCTCCGATTTCAGTGAGGCCTGCACCCTGGATTTTAGCTGAAAGACCGAGAAATAATGATGACTCTGTGATACCGTGTTTTTTGGTCTGGGGACAAGCAGCCCATCTTGACACGTTCTCCTCGTCCTGTTTCTCAGAGATTTTGATTCTTTGGATGAGCAAAATGTGGAGAAGAATAACCAGCTGGCCTTTGATATTGCTGAGAAGGAGCTGGGCATTTCTCCCATCATGACAGGCAGAGAGATGGCCTCGGTGGGGGAGCCGGACAAGCTGTCCATGGTGATGTACCTGACCCAGTTCTACGAGATGTTCAGGGACTCACTCCCCTCCCGAGGTAAGGGCCCCCCAGGGGTGCTGCTGTGCGGCTCCCCTGCCTCTCCTTCCCCCGTGCCCCTTCTTCCAGCAGACCCGCTTCTCTGCACTGTTGTCAGCCCCTCGTTCTGACCCGGGTCTTGCTCAGCAAACATGCAGTTGTGGAGGCCATGAGCATTCCTGTCTAGAACCTTGTCCTTGACTCCACCACCCTTGTTCCCTTTCTCTCAGAACCAGACTTTTTGAAAAGGTGCTTTTGCTGTGGCCTGGACTTCTTCACTGCCTAATCTTTGTGACACTTTGCAACCCGGCCAAAACTGTTGTCCGTGGTCGTGAAGAATCACCAGATGCATGTTATTCCCTCCTCTCTCACCTCTCAGGTACCTGGCTGTTCTGCGTTGTTCAGCCCTTGGAATGACATCCTTTCTCTTGAAATTCTCTCTTCCTCTTGGCTTCTGTGATCCGGACTATACTTGCTTTGTTCTCTTTCTTCTGTTAACTGTTCCCTTTCTGGCTTCTCTTTCTTCTCCTACCTTTTAGTGTTTCCAAAAATCCTCCCTTGGCCCTCAGGCTGTCAGAAAACAGACTGAGTAAGCATCATGATGCTTACAAGTGTTGACCGTGGTACCTTACCTGGTTTACATCCCATTGCCTCCACCTAAAGTCACTAAACTTCCCTGTGCCTCAGTTTCCCCATCTGTAAAGTGGGGATAATATGTACATGGCTAGATTGTAATACACTTCTAAGAAGAGTGTTTGGCGAATGGATGCACTTAAACAAATGTTAGAAATGTATTATTAGTTTCAATTATTATTTCAACATTACTATTGTTACTAATAAAACATTGGAACCCACAGAGTTTAGGTACCATTCTCCAGTGCTTCTAGCCCATGTACTTGTAGGCATCTGTGGCTTTCTCTCATTCGAGATGCAGTTCTTACAACAGACACGCACAACTCTGACATCAACAAGCACACCCTGAACCCATGACCCGAGTCCCGTCTCCTCCCCGCCGATGCCCCTCCCTTTCTCTCCCGACCTGAACTTTTCATCTTGAAGTAAGGCTTCGGCACTCTGTTGTAACCAGCAAGCACATGCACATTGCAGCGTCTGAAAAGCGAAAGTGGAGGTTTTTGTGACTGAAGTGGATTGGGGCAAGCGTTGGTTTTGTTTGTATGGATGGAGAAGAGAAGGCCCGGCGTCCAGGGCTCCGTGTGCATTTTCTCTGTGGAGTTCCTACCGGGTTCAGAGTGCACGAACCCTCAGAGCTTCCTGAGGTTCCGAGAGCCTGCTGCAAGGAGGCACCCTCAGGGCTGTCCTTGGACACTGCTGGTTTCTGCCCACAGACGCCTTGGACCTGAATGCTGAGGAGAGGGCCGTCCTGGTAGCCAGCACTAAATCCCCCATCTCCTTCCTGAGCAAGCTGGGGCAGACCATTTCTCGGAAGCGCTCTCCCAAGGTAAGTGTAAGGGTTTTTCCTCCAGCTGCAGAACTAATGATACAGTGCAGTGACTAGAGGAATGCGGTTTCCCTCTGCTCTTGGTGCAGGACAAAAAGGAAAAGGTCTTGGACGGTGCTGGGAAGAGGAGAAAGACCAGCCAGTCGGAAGAGGTGAGAAATATCTGGAATTTGCCAGAATGATTGTACTGAATTGCCCTCCTTGACTGAAACGCTTAATTCCCAAATCGGTATTGCTAGATCTTTTCAGTTCACTCTTTGTGAGAATTGTTGTGCACAGATGATTCCTGTGGCCTTTTGCCTTTGCTTAATTTTTTGGAGAGCATCCAGGGAACACACACATGTGCTCTGGGCCTTCCTGTCTCTTTGGAATCCATATGTGGCGAAGGGCAGCAGCTTTCCTGGGATGTGACCACACCAGCGAGAGCCCGAGTACCTCTTCATACTGCCCCTGGGCCCGAGGCCATCTTGAGATTTGAACCTTGAGGAGAGCCACTGAGCTCGACCTAAAGCAGGGACCAGCTGCTGTGCCAGGCCCTGGGTGTGGGCAGGGGCTCCTCTAACCGAGGCTGGCTGTCGATACCCCTGTTCACCAGGAGGACGCGCCCCGGGGCTACAGAGGAGGAAGGCCTACGCTGGTGAGCACACTGAGCGACCGGAGGGTGGATGTGGCCCTTGGCAACCAGAACAAGGTGAAGTACATGGCGACGCAGCTGCTGGCCAAGTTTGAGGAGAACGCGCCCGCGCAGTCCACGGGCGTGAGGAGACAGGTAAGCCCGGCTCACACCTCGCCCGCCTGGACCTGGGCTGGCCACAGAGGAAGGGCAGTTAGTGAGCGAGACGGGGAACTTCCCGGTCCTGAGGGCTCAGGGCTCGAGACTGGCATCTGCGTGGGGCAGGGACGAGGGTTCCTGTCCTCACCAGCCAGGCCCACCCGAGGATCTTTAAAACGGGGTGTCCAGATCTGTGTATGTAGGTGTGTGTTCACATACATGCATACGTAAGTAATATAAGAGGTACCTGCATATTGAGGAAAATGCTGGAAAGTGTAATTAAGGCCCCTGTAATTCTCTTAATATTTTGCTATGTTTCTTTCTGGTCTTTTTTTAGTGCATTCTTGTTTTCATGGTTGAGGTCATTCTTAACGTACGCTTTCCTGTTCTGCTTTCTTCATGTAACTTTGGGCGTATTTCCATGTTCCAAACTCTTTATAAGCCTCTCCCAAAGTGTGTGCTCCATGCTTTTCTTAACTCTTCCTCTGGTGCTGGATGTTTAGTTGTTTCTCATCTTTGATGAAGGGCAGAGAGGTAGACACTCTTGTGTGTTGCACATGGTTTTCCTAGACTGTCCTTGAACTAGGTCACGAGTGTGAGCACTGTAAAGGTTCTCCGTGGACTGCCCTCACTCCCCGAGTCCTGCTGAGGGCTGGACTGCCATGTCTGTTAGGTCTCGTCTTTCCTCTTGCTTGTCTAAAAGTCACTAAGCCTTCTCATAAGAGGAGGTACAGGCATTGTGAGATCTACAATGAACATTTCTTCTAAAACTCCTGGTGCGGGGAGCGCCTCTTCATCTTCGCCACGTGCGCCAGCCCTTGTTCTTGTGGACCAGGGGCCAGGCCGACCACATCACTGACTTCTTCCCACATCTAGTGCTTGGTTAGATCCTCACGCTCCAGGCATTCGTGCCGAGGCGCACAGAGAGCATGCAGGCTTGATTGTGAACGTGTGAGGCTGCCGGGTGGCCGTAGCAGCCCAGGTTCCATCCTCCTCAGCAAGGCTGGGGTGCTCTCCACTAGAGGAAGTGTGTCCCCACTCATTTTGAGTGGAAAGATTCATTTTCCAAGCTGGAATTAGTAGTTTAGGCTCAGAGCATTGAGCTTGGGAAAAGGATAATCAGAATTACAGCTTCTGTTTGTCTTTTCTTTTGCATTTGGCTTCGCCCGAGTTGGAGAGGGAGGATTTTCCTTTGTAAGTGTAGCTTCCTAGAACTAATTCTGTGCACCCTCCTTCAGTTCATAGATGCATGTCTATCCTCCGGGAGAACCATTTTTGTCTGCTACCTTAATGCCTTTTTTTTTTTTTTTCTCCGTGTCCTGTCCCCTACCCAATACTTGGCCTGTGTGTCACAGCCGACACAAGAGCGTGGGCTCAGCCAGCCGTCCTGCTGCCTGCCTGAGCAGGGTCGCCCTGCTCCCGCCCCCCAGTGGAAACAGGTAAAGGAACTGCCCAGGGACCAGAATGGGTGCTGGGCCTTCCCACCTGCTCCTCCTCCGAGCCAGCCGGGCTGTCCTTTTTGTGTTTTTTTTTTTTTTTTTTTTTTTTTTTTTGTCTCCGTGTCCTGTCCCCTACCCAATACTTGGCCTGTGTGTCACAGCCGACACAAGAGCGTGGGCTCAGCCAGCCGTCCTGCTGCCTGCCTGAGCAGGGTCGCCCTGCTCCCGCCCCCCAGTGGAAACAGGTAAAGGAACTGCCCAGGGACCAGAATGGGTGCTGGGCCTTCCCACCTGCTCCTCCTCCGAGCCAGCCGGGCGGGACCTGCACCGTAGAGCCCTAGGTCACAGGGTAGGGATCTCTGTGCACATTTGAGCGGCGACTCTGGGGGAAGGTTTAACAGGCACTACTGAGAGTATTGCATGACTTGTTTAACTCCTTGGGTTTTGGGAAACCACTGAAAAGGGTGGGCTGTTATATTGGTGTTGAAACTAGCTGAAGTTATGTGGTACCTGTGTTCAGGTACTTAGCCTTTGGGGTTTTGCTGTTATAACCTTTGTCCCAAGTTGACCTTTGGGTGAAATGCATCCTCATGACCCCTGGAGGACAATCCCGAGTTTCTAGAGCTTGGGGCTCGGGGCAATGTTCTTCTCGTGTTAAACAGGAAAATGTTATCCAAGAAATAGTCTCAAACTGGTTTTTTCCTTGTTTCAGATCATGAACAGAGATGATCATGGGCATTTTCTCAGTGTTTTGTCCACATTTAAAATACTCTTTTTGGAAATTTTCACTAAAGTTTCTGCAAGATCTCCTGTAAAGCTGCTTCTCCTACATAGTATAGAGTGGGGCAGAAAGAAAGAGGGGGTGGCGCCTGGCGGGGAACAGGAAACCCGCCAGAGCGATGGGAGGCCTCTGCTGTGTTCCCCCTACGTCACAGCCCTGAGTGCGGCCTGGGTTTGCTGTCTCTTGGTTTGGAATCGCTGAGGACTGGGGTTCTGAGCAGTCAGAGGGGCTGACCCTGATTCCCTCCTGTGCTGGGAGGTGCTGGGGAGTGGTGAGTTAGATTTGAGTTGAATTACACTTAGGGCAGAATGTTTCTTTCTAACTTTCCTTTTGATAATATGCACGTTAAGGCAGGGCCCGTGAGGCTGAGGTGGAAGCTTGGGAGCTGCGTCCAAAGTCACCATGAAGCCAAGCTGCCTCTCTCCCCATGCTTGGGGAGGGGAGGTCTTCTGAGGAAAACTCATTAGAAATTCACGTCTATTTTCCTTACTTACCCTTTGCCTAGGGTAGACCTTTGAAGTCTAGGTAGAAGGTATGATTTGAAGGTTAGTCTTGAATTGAGTATTACTAAAGGGGAAGGTGAACTCTGCACTACATTCCCAGGTTCTTACACTAGTCATGGAGGTGGCCTGAGACAGGGAAGCACAGTCGGTGGGTGAAGAGGTGACTCTGAGTGGCACGTCCTGGAGTGGCTCTGGGTGGGCATCCCAGGAAGCCCGGGTCAGGGACCCGAGGGGCTGGTTCGGCCGCCGCTGCTGCCTCCGTCCCGCGGAAGATGGGCTTGGCTCCCGCTGGGTGCTGGGCTGCAGGGGTGCCCAGAGCCCTGCTTCTCCTGTTGCTGCAGCGGCTGGGAGCCTCCAGCCTGTGCGGGTGCTGCCTGAACGCACCCAGGTGATTTGTGATCACGGTCGGTGGAGTTGAGTATGTACCGCCAGGCTCTCCAGGCCAAACAGACCCTTAAAGTGAAGGCTGGTCTGGGGAAGGGGCACCGGAGATGCCGGTCAGGAGCAGCAGCTGGGTAGCTGGACCCCGTTAGATCCTGTGTGTAGAGCGGGATTGTAATATGCTGGGTTGTGAGAGGACCCGTGACGAACAGCTCTCACGTCCTCCTGAGATGTGTTCACAAACGACTTATCCCCAGTGCTAAGTCAGGGATGGCGTCGTGAGCCTTGCTTTGCCTATTTATCCCCTGAAAGACAGAGCACTGGAGGGCCACGCCAGTTGGCGCACCAGCTCAGGGGCACAGGAAGTCCAGGGGTGCGCCCTGGGGGCTGACGGCGCGCCTTCCTGTGACTCACTTGCTGTTCCCCTGGAAGCGGCTCCAACTGAGGCAGGCGGGTGTGGCGAGCACAGTGGTGAGGAAGAGTGGGGATGCTCACTCCTCGTCACCTTCCTGTGGCGTCACCCGGCTCTTCCCTCCCCACCTCGTCCCCTTCTGATCTCAGAAATGGGTCCTGCAGGCGAAGTCTGTGGTTAAGCAGCCTTGGTTTGGCTGTAGATGGTCAGTGGTGTGGGAACAGACGGAGGAGTGGGTTCTGTGGCCTCTTCCCCTCCGGGCTTTGCTGGGAGCCGCCCCACATGGTAGCTCTGGGCGTGAGGAACCTGAGGCTTTCTCTGACTCGGGAATCTGGTGGTTCCTTTAGCACTGCAGGGTTCTGTCAATCAGAGACAGGTTCACAGGAAGCGGACACCGTGGGGAAGTGATCCACAGACATTGTGTTTTGTCAGTTAGCGCAAGGTGTTAATTTTATACCGTTTCCTGTTTTTTATTGTATTTCTGTGGTCGTCTCCCAGAACCTTCCGCATGTGAGTGAGGGGACTGAGCAGGGGGAAGCAGTGGCAGGACGTGGGCGTGGGTGGCCCAGGAGGTGCTGGTCTGCTGCTGCAGGTGCCCGGGTGCCCCCGCTGTGGGCAGCAGTCGCCACGCTCCCCCCGTAACGGGAGTCTGTGTGCCCTTCTCTCTACTTGTAATTGAGCCCCTTTTACCCCCCAGCTTCCCTGATAAGCCAGCAGAGAAGAATATGGCCTGGTCCCTGGCATTTAGAAAGTGCTGCCGTGCAGGTCCTGACCCCACAGTGGCTGCAGAGATGACTCTGGGATCTGCAAACAGAGCGCCTCTGCCCCGAGGCCATGACAGGCGGGACAGGCCCCTGCCTGAACACGCCAATTTGTGCTGAGGATGGATGGGTGGGGAAGGGCCTCTGGGATGCTTTTGGCAAATGCCTTCGGTCCTTCCAGACCCAGCCTCAACGTGGCCACCATTTCACCTGTGTTCTCTCTGTTTGTGTCTATCGGCGTAAAAGCGACAGGAAAAGGAGCATTCTCGGACCTGCCCCAAAAAAGTGATCACACTCTCTCCTCCCCCTACTCCGCCTCCCTGTCGGGCACGTGGCGACCAGCAGGTGACCCCTTCTGCATGCTCCGCTGTCCTGTGTGCCTGCCTGCCTGTGTGGGTGGCCAGGGGAGAGACCAAGTCAGGATCCCCTCATTTCAGTGATGACTTACTGGCGAAGCGACCTTTGCTGGTGGGCCTCAGGATAGCACACCGTCCGTTCAAACCCTGGGTAGTTTAATCTAGTCCCGCATCACAGGACTACAACTGTGCAGCCACAAACTAAAATTTAAACTGTACTTGACACAGATGCGAGGTCCAAAAGCCCTGGAGAGCATTTTTATATAACCCCATTGAAATCAGCCATTTTTGTCTTGTTGCCCAAGGAGATACAGTTAAGGTGAACGTTGGGAAGCTTTTTATAGGGCTCCACTCCGTGAGTTTG